AGGTCATGGGGCCCAGGTGTTTGCTTGCAGGTGGCTTATCTGAGAAACACGGCAGGGCAAAAAAGGAAGTTTGGGGAAGGGGGGCATGACTCCAGAGGGCCCGTGAGTTGTTGGCTTCTTTCTCACATCTTCATTCCTCCAGAGACTTAATTTCTGCCCATTGGATGTAGGACAGTGATGCAGCTCCAGGAGATTCAATCAGAGGAAACTGTTCTGGCCAATATACATCCATCTGGATTGGACTCCGAAGAGGTGAGGCATTTGGGGGTGCACCAAGCTTGCTTCTCGCGTGACATGGGCTTCAGTGAGCTGGTGCTGTGAGGAAAGGAGTGGGTGTGGGGCTGGCATTCCCCACCACGGCCAAGTCTGCTGCCCAAGGCTGCCACTTCGTGGCCTGTGCTAGACTTCCCCAAGGAGGACTGGCCACTTCCATTCCACATACCAGCACGCCAAGGAACCAAGCACCGATTCCGCCCTCTGTGCCACAGAAAGAGAGAGCAGCGTCACAGCCAGAGCCACTCCCGGTCTTGCTGACGATCCTCCCATCTCAAGCTGACACTTCAAGAACTCCTGCTCCCCCAAACCAGTTTCATTTGAAGAGCCAAGATTGTTTGAAATGCCTCCTGCCTCTTGTCGCTGTAGGCATGAATGCTGATTTCAGCCTCAAAGATGACGATAAGCCAGGTTTCGGGGGGAGCGTGAGGGTGGGCGGATTGCTGACAGCAGCTTTTGTGTGTTTCTCTGCATGCCAACTGAGAAGTGTTCCAAAGCCCTTGTGGCCAGGGACAATATTTGCATAAGGCTGATACCTTGAGACAGGTTGCATGTGGGCCTCTGGGCACCAGAATCCCAGTGCTGGCCAGACACAACAGGGCCTTCGGATTGCAAATTCACAGCCATCTCTGAATTTCTCCTGTGTTGCTCAGTGCCAGCCTGCCTGACAGGATGCCTGACTTGGAAAAGGCGGCTTTGCTCTGCCTTTCCTTCCCCTTTCTTCCCTCCATCTCTTCAGTTTGTGTAAGTTCAGCTTTTAGCAGTTTCTCTAGCTCAGACTCTCCAGCTTCCCTTTTCTTGCACAGCAAAGGTAATGAGCAAAGTTAAAACCTCATTCCTGGCTCCCAGCAGTTCAGCTCTGTGGGCGGCATATTGGCACAATTAGAGCCACAGGTGTGTTTGAGAGACACACAGACAAACGGGGAAGTGCCGCCATGCCTACCCTGCATGCAAAAGCTCAGAGAGCAGCACCAACGTAATGGGACTATTCTTTGTCAAACACAGAGGAGGGGGCAAACCGTGAGACCCAGAGGCAAGCTGAAAGGCAGACCCATTCTTTCTTATAGGGGATCACTGCAGTTTTAATTGGCTGAATGCAAATAATGGATCATTTGGTTTCTGCCCAGAGCATCTTATCGCCAAGCATGGAGATGGGGCAGGGTGCAAAGTGCGAGGCGGACGCTGCTGGGTCTAATGATGTCATGGGTGTCAGTCTCATGCTCGCTTTCCAATCTAAGTTCAGTTTAGCTCAGATTTTGGGGCAGTCCCTACTTCAGCCTGTTCCAAATGCCCTCTTTTTAAAGTTTTCATGAATGTGCAGAAAGAATTTTGCACCGATCACTCTGCCCCCCTGCATTTTTGGGTAGTATGCAAATCTTTGCAAGCATGTGTCCTAATGCTATGCCTTTTTAACACCCCTCCCCACCACTCTGCAATATGCACGTTTCTCTGCGTTTTTTAATGGCGTGCGCCATCGCAACATTTGGAAATGAGTGAATTTCAAAGGATAAGCAAGTTTCAGTTTCCAGCATGCTCAAAAGGGCAAAAGTGGGTAAATTCACCTTAACACGGGAACAGATTTCTTTCTTTCTTTCTCCCTACATAGTTAAAAGAAGGATAGCAACACCGGGCATATTGCAAACAAGCACTTTTGTTCAACTCCTTTTGACCGTGGAATAAGAAATCTTGCAAGCACCATAGTTTCTGGTGGGCAGATCTCTTGGTTTCATAGAGAAATACAGGACTTTCTGGACCTACACCAGTTTCATAATAATCCCTTCTTGGTGAGTGGTGGACAGATGTTCAGGGATCTCTGGAAGAGAATCTGCCACACCTCAAGCAAACTACCATTTCCACTATCCTTTTGAAGAAGCCCCTGATGACGAGTCAACTGGCACTGCTGGGGTGGTGGGGCAGGGGTGGAATCCCAGCTTGCTCACAGGGCAGAGGCCTGTGCTCCTGTTTGCAGGTCTGCAAAGCCAGACAGAAAAATGGAGGCTCCAAGCAGGACGAAAAAGAGAATGGTCACAGATGGGTGCAGGCTAGTGCTTCACAGCACAGTCAGCCTGTGGACGCTGCTGGCACAAGCGGTGGAGAAGACTACTGGTTCTGGTGGCTTCAAAAAGCGATTAGACCAATCCATGGGGAGTGGGGGGCTTGCCATGTCTCCTGGCTATGCTACCCTGAGAACCAGAAGCTCCCTGGTGCTGTGAACAATAGCAGAAGAAGGGGCTGGCTCTGACATCCTACTTTAGGGATTCTCATGAGTAACAGGCTAGGCACTGCGAAACTGGGTGCTGGACTGGAAAGGCCCCTGGTCCAGCTGAGCAGGCTGGCACGGGTGTCCACATTCTTGTCAGAGAAGTGATATTTCAGATGGTGGAGGACATGGATAAGATTTGAAATGGTGACATCTAAGCTCAGGGCTCGTCCCCTGAGCAACCCAACCCCATTACATTTCAGCAGCAACGAACTGTTTCAGGGAGGGATCAGACCCCAGAGCAGCACTTCACGTTCTTCTTTCCTTCTGAAAGAACCAGGGTGGAGAGGAAGCACTGTGGAGTGCAACCATCGCTGCATGCAGCCAACCCGCACGCATCCTGCACTGTGCAGGGACTGGCTTGTCTCACTGGCTTCCCTCCAGAGAGAGAGCAACCAGGCCGGCCACTGAACAGATCTTTCATCCTGCTGTACCTGCTTAACCCTGCAGGGCTCTTAAGTGCCCCGGAAGCCAAAAGCCATCAGGAAAAACAAAAAGCACACTCTGCCCTTCGAAGAGTGACAAAGGCTGCATTGGACTATTCAAATGCAGAGCAGAAATGGAAGAAGAGACAAGCTAGAATACATTACTTTGGTACATTTCTCTCCCTCTGAAAATGTTCTTCATGGTGCATTCACTTAGGAGCTGTTAAGAAAGGAAAAAAGGTTCTCCACCCCCTTTGCAGCTGGGTTTGATTCCCAGTTAAACTGGGGCATGTTCAACTTCATGAAGACCAGACTGAGGGGGGCATGATATCCCTCTATAAGTGCCTCAAAGTCTGTCCCAAAGAGGAAGGTCAGGATCTCTTCTCACTGATCCCAGAGTGCAGGACATGGAATAATCAATTGAAGTTGCAAAAACCCAGATTCAGGCTGGGCAGCAGGAAAAGCTTCCTCCCTGTCAGAGCAATGCGACGGTGGAACCAGTTGCCTAGAGAGGTCACGGGCTCCCACACTAGAGTCATTCAAGGCAAAACTGGACAGCCATCTGAATGGTGTGGTGTTAATAAGTGTCCTGCAACAGCAGGGGTTGGACCCGATGGCCTTCCTGACCCCTTCCAACTCGACTACTTACAATTCTATGATTCAGCTATTATTGCTATTCTGTATTATTCTTATTAACCCTTTGCATTTTAAGCCTCACTTTGATACCTTGGTGTGCTTCTTTCTCAACTTGTCTTATGCTGCTTTGCCATGAGGACAAGGGGACTATGTTTTGGCTGCTTAAGTCCAAGACATGACCTGCTACCTGGAAAGCAGATCCTGGGAGAAGTGATGGAGTGCACACCCCAGGTCCCAGTCCTTGCCTCTCCAAGCAGTGCTGGGAAAGATCCATGTCTGAAACAATGGAGACTTGCTGCCAGGAAGTATCACGTAGCTTTCCTCAGTGTGTTACCCGGAAGGTACCATGTTGAGGGAGCCTGGAACAGGCAATACTGACCTAGACGGACTGGCTTTCTGTGTTCTCTGTATCATCCCCTTTTATTTGCACCCTCACCCACAGCGCATGTTCTCCCGTTCGTCTTTCTCCCCGCGGCATGCATGCATCCCTCCCCCATTTTTCTCTTCTCATGCACTGTTCACAGTGGGGCTTCATTGCTACAATCCTAATATAATATAGATTCTCTAACTGAACTGAGTTTGACCAAGGAAGGGTGGGGCAGACATTTCGTAGCTACAACAGCTGCTTCAGTGATAGCCCCCTGGAGATGCAGGGATCTGTGCCAGGCTTGACTTCAGGAAGAAGGACTGAATACCCTGGGCTAGCCAGTGTGGGAGAAGGATGCATGCTGGAGTTCTTGTGGGCAAAAGGCCAGGCATTTCCCCCCCTTAAAGAGATTCGGCAAAACAATCCTGCAGAGTAGATGACCCATTGTCCGGAGACACCCGGAAATTACCTCATTGATAGCGCCTGGTAAGCACAGACAAAAGGACTCACCTCTTACCCAGAAAAGCAAGAGTTTCGGCCACCAAGAAGCCATCCGGCACAATTAGCACAAGCTTGGAATGTTTGTCTCTCCCATAAGCCACATGCTCAGAGAGAAATAGCATAAATATCAGAAACACGCTCCTCTCTCCCCTGCAAGCGTCCTGGACACACAAGCTGTACCGTTGTGGGGCAGGCCATGCCTCCCAAGCCTCACCCCTTTTCTGACAGCCCCTCTCTGCGTTCGGCAAGAGCTCGTTCTCTCTTAGAAATGTATGTGATGAGGCCACACTTATGGTCCTGAATGATGCCTGTACACTCTGCATTTCAGTTCACACACACACACATGGGGAGGTGGAGAGAGAACTCAAGGTAACACTCCTTTTATCTAACAAAGTGAACAACATTCCATAACACTTTAGTCTGTAATAAACGTGCTCGTGTGTCCGAGGCCACACAGCACTTCGCTGTGTGGCTCTCATGGGCACACAGTTGCCCCCGGGCACCAGCAGCAGCCTGCCTCTTGGCGCCTGATACACACCTGTGTAATGGATCACAAATCCCGTGTTGCTGACGGAGGCATCACTCCGGAAGGCCAGGAACAGAGCATTGCCGCTGCTTTCAATCCTCTCCGGCAGCTGGGTGTCGTAGAAGCTGCCAATCAAGGGGCTGAGTGAGTTGGGCCCATCATAGATGTGTAAGAAATCATAGCCTGGTTCCAAATTGAAGCTGAGGGAGAAGAATATAAAAACCATGTGAGGTTTATTGCCACCCCTGCTACTCCTCTTTCTTAATGAGCTGCCCTTCTATCAAGTTTTGCACTCCAAGTGTCTTACAAAAGGACAACGGAAATGCATAGGGCAGCAGGACTACAAACAGCACTGCATGTTGAGACAGAAGGAAGTCCGCCAACTTCAGCAATCTCCATGTCTTTCTAAATAGGCATAAGATGGTCCCCCAAAACATTGAAAAAAAGATTGGCTTCTAGAGGTGGCCAAATCAACCAATTTCAGTTCGTTTCAGTTTCTCATTTTTCCAGTCTTAAGTTTGGTTCATCTCAAATTTTAAGAAGTATTTTTGAAGTCTCCATGAAAATCCATAAGATTATTTTTCACACTTTTGCAAAATAAACAGGTTTGCTAGCAGTTTTCCTACTGTAATGTTAATTCTGAGCATCAGTTTTCCTAATGTATGCATTTTAGTACACATAGGTTTTGACTGGAGATATCTATGGCAAGATTCAGAGAAGTGCATATTTTCTGAGGGTGGGGGAGGCTGTCTGAGTTTAAGTCCAGTTATCAGCTTGCAGATGTGAAATTAAGGAAGTTTGCATCAACATGCAAACAGAACAAATTTCTCCTCCATTCGTCCAGTCATTAGTGTATTGCATAAACTCTGTTCGATGCTTCTTTCTCTATAGAGTGACTGAAATTCTGAAGGGAAGCTGGTTGTTTTTCAGTAGAGATCTTGCATACTGTAAGACTCCCACTCACATAATCTAGTCTCTATGGATGCCACTTGCTCCCCCACTGGACCTCCCTCCAATGCATGAAGGATGGGGGTTTGCACAGCCAGGGAAGGTGGGGTAAGGCCACCAGCAAAACCCAGCATCCTCCCCTCATTTATGTGCTAGCTCTTCTCATGCTTAATGCATGAGTAATAACTGCAATACACTGATTAAAATCAAAGCAGCATGAAATAGGGAAAGAATATGCGTATCCTCTAATGCAACTTTCCCCGATCTGGTGCCCTCCAGAGGTTTTGGATTCCAACTTTCACCAGCTCAGTGAATGTAGTTGATGGTCAGGAAGTTGTATTTCAGAACATTTGGAAAGCACCACGATGGAAAGCTCATCTCGTTGTTCTGAACATGGTTTGCCACATGTGGACAGGAGGAGGCTTATGGATGTGTCTTGATGGCTTTTGATGGTTCTTTCTGGAAAGAACATCTCTATAAAGTTGCTACCAACATAGTCCCATTGACCACATTTCAGGAAATGGTGGTTGGAGGAGATACATGGAGTTAGGTAGCATTACTAGTCCTTAAATGAATGGGGATATTGCAAGTGAGGGTTCTAATTTTGTTTAGTTTGTTCATCATTTTGCAATGTAGTGAATGAGTACTAGAAGGAGAGCAAATGCTACATATATCATGGACTGGATCTAGACCTGGTCTTGCATAGAGTAGGCCCATTGAAATGAAGCTAGTCATGACTAAAGGCAAAATCCTATCCATGGTTAGGGAGACAAAAATCCTACAACTTCCAGTCTTACTAGTTTGCACCCTAATTTAGTGACCCAGTGAACCTCATCTAGTGATAACCGAGTCTAATTCCCACCCAATGGCTTTTCAGTTGTACAGTCTTCCGTTTATTTTCCAGATTCAATATTTTCTTGTTTATAACTGCCACATCTGAACTGAAACATTAGAAGAATGTTTCCATCTTGCAAGCCTTTAAAAGGGTGACCCAATCTGCACCCGCACACAGCACTTACTCATTTAAGTCTCCAGCAAAGGCCCTGGGCCCTTGTTGATAGCCACTCTAGAAACATTTGCCTTGATCACTGGCACTGAATGTGCGGTATGAGAGTTAGGAATCCCCTTTGATTACTTCAGGACTGCACCTCTGGGAAGTGGAGAGCCGTTTTCTACCCGCTTCAGTTAAGTTTGCCAGTTGACAACAAATATGGTTGTTACTGGAAACCAAGAAGGGGCCATTAATCAATTCATTCATCCTTACGTGCATTTAGAAAGAAAGAAAGCGGGGGGAGCCCTAAACTGTGCAGCATTTCCCAGCCAGCCTGTGGGACATGTTGTCTGTCTACACATGAGTGTAATCACTCCCTAAGGGCACAAACCCGGAACCACTAGAAGGTGTCTAGATATGCCCAGGAGAACTGCACGCTCTAACACTGAGCTCAGAGGCTCCACATTCAGAGTGCCCGGATCCAGCCCCCACAGCCACTGCAGTTCTAAGCTTCCATAAAGCGCCTGATCTCAGAAGCTAAGTGGGGTCAGGCCTGGCTGGTATTTGGATGGGAGACCTGATTCCTGCATTGAGAAGGGGGTTGTACCGCAGAAATGAGAACAGCCCCCTTCCATCTCTGTGATTCTATGATTATTTCCATGTTGGCTCTGGAGAGGCATTCTGCGGGGGACTGGGTAGGAGAGGAGGAGCAAGTCTCCACCAGGATGTGAGTCACCTTGGCAGGGTCTCAGCCCCTCTTCCTTATGGGCCAAGGTATACTACTATCTCCCCCTCCTCCCCCTCCACACCACCTCACAACCTAAGCTCTGCAGTCTGTGACAATCCATAAATCAGAAAATAAAATGCAATAACACACCAGAAAATATGTCAAAAATACAAGTTTAAAACAGCTAAAACAAACAATAAGGAAGAATGTAAAAGCCCTGTGACGGGTCATCCTCTTAAGCCCCTGGATAGCCGAACAAGTCTTTAAAAGCTTTGTCATAAAAGGACATCTTAACCTGGTGCCGAAAAGATGGCAAATTCTGTGCCAGCTGAGTGGGCTGCAGTGGGGAGGTAGTTTTGCAGATGGGGGGGGGCAGAAAAATCCCTCCCCCTTGTTGCCACCCTTGGTGCTTCCCTTGGAGGTGACTCTCAGAGAACGAGAGGCCTGCAGCTGGAAGCGGTGCTCTGCCAGGTACTGCGGCCCAAGCCATGCAAGGCTTTCAAGCCCAAACACTGAGGGGGTCAGCCCTGGTCATTGAAGCGTTGCGAAGGGTGAGGGAAATGCAGAGGCAGCCCTGGCCAGCGGGTTCTTTCTGCCCACCATTGCAAGCCTTGAACCCAGAGCTCTCACAGTTACGAACAGCCACATCAGAAAGCACGTTTAACACTCGGATAAATTTTAAAAAATAGACATTTTGCAACCGTACTGGACTGACACTGGTTGCATTTAAAATTTCTGATGCTTAGTATGACTTTATTGATATGTCTGCATTGTTTTCATGGCATAAACCACTTCGGGAAAATTTGAAAGGTGGTTAAGAAATTGATTGCATGTAAGCTAACAAAGAATGTGCGTGTGCTCCTGTCTGCCTGCGTCTTATCACCTGTACCATGTGCTCAGGCACCTGAAACTTGGCATGCATACCGAGGGGACGCTTGGGGGATGCAGCTCTGGGTTATCTGCTTCCTACAATTTTAATTGTAAATGCTGCAATGATTTTAATGCATTTAGATTTATCTCTGTGTTTAAAGCTTGCAAGTACCATCTTTGGTCACTAGACTGCAGATCACAGAATCCTGTCAGAATAATTTAATCTCATTTTTGACTGGATAACTTCCCAAATGAACAAAGGGAACACTGTGGACATAATCTACCTAGACTTTAGCAAAGGTTTTGGCATGGTACCACATGACATTCTGATAAGCAAATTAACAAAAACTGGACTAGATAGAAAAATATTAGGTGGATCCAAAATTGGCTGCTAAATCAGTCACAAAGAGTGCTTATAAACTGCGCCTTCCCAAACCGGAGGGAGGGAGCTGGTGGGGTGCCACAGGGCTAAGTCCTGGGCCCAGTGCTCTTCAACATCTTTATTAATGATTTAGATGAGGAAGTACAAAGAAAGATAATCAAATTTTCAGATGATACAAAACTGGGTGGAATAGAAAACACACTCGAAGACAGAATGAAGATCCAGGGCAGTCTTGATAAACTTGAACTCTGGGCTGAAACCAACAAAATGAAATTCAGTAAGGACAAGTGTCAAGTCCTCCACCTAGGAAAAAGAAACCAAAGGCATCGATACAAGATGGGGAATACGTGGCTCAACAGAACTGAAAAAGAAAAAGATCTTGGAGTAATTGTGGACAATAGGCTAAACATGAGCCAACAACGCAATGCAGCTGCCAAAAGGGCAAATGCTATTTTGGGATGCATTAACAGAATTATTACTTCCAAATCATGAGAAGTAGTAGTTCTTCTATACTCCTCACTAACCAGACCTCATCTGGAATGCCATGTTCAGTTCTGGGCCCCAAGATTTAAGAAAGATGCAGGTAAATTAAAAAGGGTCCAGCAGAGGGTGACAAAAATGATCCAGGGTTTGGAAACACTGCCCTGTGAGGAGAGACTGAGGGAAGTGGGCATATTCAGCCTTGAGAAGAGAAGGCTGAGGGGGAACATGATATCCCTCTATAAGGACCTCAAAGGCTGTCCCAAAGAGGAAGGTCAAGATCTCTTCTTGCTGATGCCAGAGTGTAGGACAAGGAATAATCAATTCAAGCTGCAGCAACCCAGATTCAGGCTGGACATCAGGAAAAGTATCCTCACTGTTGGAGCAATACAGCAGTGGGACCAGCTGCCCAGAGAGGTGGTGGCCTCTCCCGCACTGGAGACATTCGAAAAGAAGCTGGGCAGCCCTCTGAGTGGGATGGTGTGACTTGGTGTCCTGCAACAGAAGGCGGTTGAATCCAATGGCCTTCATGGCCCTTCCAACTCTCCTATTCCATGATTGTATGAATCATGGAATAGGAGAGTTGGAAGGGACATGAAAGCCATCAAGGCCAGCTCCCTGCTCCATGCAGGACTTCAGGTGAGAGCATCCGTGGCAAGTGGTTGTTCAGCTGCCTCTTGTATGCCTCCAGTGTGGGGGTGCCCACAACCTCCCTGGTCATTGTTCCCATTGTCCTATTGCTCTAGCAGCCATGAAGTTTTTCCTGATATAAGTTGGAACCCTCCTTCCAGTGACTTGAGCCTGTTATTCTGTGTCCTGCACTCTGGGATGATGGAGAAGAGACCCTGGCCCTTCTCTGCATGACAGCCTTTCAAGAACTTGCAGAGTACTCTCCTACATATCTCCCCTCAGCCTTCTCTTCTCAAGGCTAAGCATCTCCAGTTCTTTCAATCCCTCCTCACGGGGCTTTGTCTCCAGTCCCCAGATCCTCCACGTTGCCCTCCTTTGAACTCTCTCCAGTTTCTCTGCCTCTTTCTTAAACTGTAGCACCCAGGACTGGACACAGGACTCAGGGTGAGGCCCGCCCAGTGCTTAGATGTTACTAACCAGCAAAGAGCTTTTTCCGTCAAGGCAGCTCAAAGCCAGGAAAGAGTAGTCTGAGGAAGAAACCTGTGCAGCTACACTGCCACTGCCCTCAGCCCAGTGTGATGCACCCCCCTGCAGGGCAATGGCCCTCCCCCTGGCACTGCTAGGGCACCCCTTGGCAAGAGGCATGCCGGGGGCATCAGCAGCCATGAGGCGGCTGTGGAACCTTCCACGAAAGCTTTTGCTGCAGCCAACTGAGGGCTGTTTCAGCTGTGCGATCCCAGTCACGAAGCAGATGTGGTTAACAAAATAGTTTCAAGAGCACTTGCTGATTTAAATAATTTGCACTTTTTTTTTACTTTGCCTGTTGATGATTGCAATGATCCAAGATTAAGCCCTAGCATTCAGGCTGGGGAAGACTGCGGCGCGCATCCTTGATTTCACTTATTCTTGGCTGGTTGCTCCTAAATGTGCAGAAATAGTTAAAGGCAACTTCTTCACTGACAACAAGGGATTTGTATTCCACGTCTGCAGAGCCACAAGCCTCCCCTGAAGCTACGCCTTGAGAGGAGTGGAAACCAACGAACTTACGTGTGAAACACCAAGGCAATGACGTCATCGGGAGAGACAGTCAACTTCCAGTCACACTCCTTCCCTGGTGGGTAGGGCTCTGGGTAGTTTGGTGACAAGATTACCCCTGACGGTCCTGTCAGGATCCCTCCACAGGGAGCTAAAGCAGAAGGAAAGCAGAGAACAGAAAGGCCCATCCAAGGCGTGTGTGAGAGAGGATAAACTAAGGAACGTCTAAGGAAATGTAATAATCATGCAAGAACTGTCAGGGCTGCATCCCCTCTGCATCCCCCGTGACTTCCTAGGCTTTCTCCTCATGTAATTGATGTGTTTTTTCCTCCCACCTACCTTGCAGCACTATCTTGCAATAGGAGGTGCATTGGTGGCTGGCCCCACAAGCTCTGGACCACTCAGCCAACCTCTGCCCCACATCGCCGTATTGTGCTAAGCTGCCACGCTGTTAGCATTGGCCGCAGAGTGGCGTGCCTTCCTCACAGCCTTCAGCCAGTCCGTCTGCCTGCCATTGGCAAGCAAGGTTTGGAAGCTGCCCTTGAGAAATGGGTCGGCCTTTGGCATGACTGGGCCCTTGCCCCTGTCACAGGCCTTTTTGCCAGGTGACGAGCAGATGTGCACCTGGATGTGGCCTGCTGGTCTGCCACTGTGTGAACAGAAAGCTAGATGGGGCAGCTCATTGGCCTGCTCCATCACGGCCCTTCCGGTATTCTTCAGCTACTAGATGCACAAGTACATCAAAACTAGGGTAGGTTGGACCATGGATTAATTCAGCTTTTGGTGAAGTCCAGACCCTGCGTTGGGAGTGAGGGGGAGGGCTGCTTGGGCTGCTTGTTCTCAAGCACAGCTGGATGGACTCAGAGGAACTGGAATCAGAATGTGAAGCGGAACTGGGGGGTGGGCCATGCCAAGACTCTGAGACAGGAGAAGCAGAGATGCTTATCTCAAGGCCAGACCCCTCAGGTGGGCAGGCAGTCCCTGGGAACAGTCCAGGTGAACAGCTGGTGGGAGGGGACTCAGAGCAGGGGACAGATGAGGCAGCCCCAGCTGCTGACCCCATGACACAGCATCAGCAGAGGAGGGTGGCCCAATTAGCGCATCGACATGCGGGGAGGAGGCCCCTCCCTTTCGGGACAGGGCCCAGGCACGCTCACAAGCAGAGTTCCTGGAGATGCCTTCTGAGTGTTTCATGTTTCTTGGTCAGCAAAATGGAAAAGGATCTGTGGCTTTTGCATGCCCGGAGGAGGAGCCCTGGCCCACGATGCCCTGGGACCTCACAAGTTTAGCGGTGTGCTGCTCCACTGCATATTGCCCGCTTCTCATGGCCAAAGTATGTTCTCACTAAGCATGCAGGTCTTCTGAGCCTAGGAGTAGGAGAACCCATGAAGCTCAGGTAGGGAGAATGAGACAGCCCTGGACAATAAAAGAGCATTATTGAGTTGGAAAAGGTAGAAGTCAGGGCAACACAAATGGTCAGGGGGCTGTAGCAGCTCCGCTGTGAGGAGTGAACGTGACAACTGGGGCTGTTCAGCTTTAAAAAGGGGCAAGTGAGCGGAGACATGACAGAGGGGCGTAAAACAATGCATGGTGTGCAGGAAGGCAGAGAGAGATGTTTCTGCCTCTCCCGTAGCACCTGGACCCTCAGTGGGGTCGCGCCACAAGGCTGATGGGGGGGAGGTCCAGGACAGGTGAAACCAAGTACTTCACACGGCGCTTGGTCAAAGTCTGCCGAGGGAGGTGGCGATGGCCACCAGCCTGGGTGGCCTCAGAAAGGGATTGGACACGTTCGTGAGGGGAGAGGCCCCCTGTGGCCCCTCGTGTGGGTCCCTTCACCAGAGGCAGCCTGCCTCCGCTCACCTGAGGAGCCTGGGCAGCCTTGCACCCACCCTGCTCGAGGGATCCCCTGGGTCGCTTCCCTGTCTACGGAATGCTGGACTAGAAGGACCCGCGGCCTGATCCAGTGTGGCTCCACTTGGTTCCTTATGTTTCATTTTGCAATATGGATTAACCCTTTCCTTACTCATGGACCTCCCCAGTAAATGATCTTCCTGCAGCCCTGCCCCAGGCGAGGGTAGGAAAGGAGTGAGATCTGCAGAAGGCATTTGCGGGAGACGCTGCTGTCAAAGGGCTGATCTCGTCTCCTTCCTACTAGTAGCAACACTGACGCCCTCTTGCCTGGGGAGCAGCCCTCTGGCAGGCGAATATGCTGATCCAAACGGCTCGGCACAGGGTCCGTGTCTGCCTGTGCCGGGAAGATGCCAAGTTAAGTGCGTCATTCAAAAGTGAGGAAACCCACACGCTGCCCTGTGCTGGCAGCAGAGGGGATGAGTGGGCTCAGTAGCTTACTTTTAAATCAATTTTAGAAAGAAAGGCAAGCAATTAATTTCCTTTGCTTGGAACAACATTTTATAAATACAAATTAAGTGCAGCAGGATGATACAGACAGCTAACATTTAATTAGGCCATTCATGAAGCATTTACTGCTTCAGTGTACTTTGCACAACATTATTTTTTATGTTTTTTTCCCAGTGGGTGTTTGCATGAAACATGTATAACTTTTGGCCAGCTTTGGGGACTATGGGAAATGGGTGACAGAAGAGGGGATGGGACGAACTCCATCTTCGGAAGCTACGATGTAGGCTGCGCGAGGGGGGGGGGGGGGGGGGGGGGGGGGAATGGCAGTCATGACCCAACAGAGGGGCTGATTTCACCAGGACCCTCAGATCAGGGACGACTGACTGCCCGTCTCCAGCAGCTTCTCCTTCACAAGGCAGCTTGCGGGCCCTTGGCACTGCCCAGGACTTGCAGCTCTCTCCTGCCGGCCAAACTGACTCCCTCAAAGGGTGAAGGCCATGGGGGAAGGTGGCCTCTCTGACATCAGCCTGCCCGGCGGGATCCCCTTCCACCCCACGGTTCCCCAACTACTGCTGAGCAGATTGAGTCAAAGCCTCTACCTGTGCACGTGGGTGGGTCAGGCTGCCAGAAAAACCGGTTCTCGATCTGCACACAGCTGATCTTGGCCTCCCCTTGCAGGGCATAACCCGGATCACACTGGAAAACAATGGCATCGCCTGCCTCCTTCGTGTCGCCGCTCCGGCTCCCGTTCTGCGGAACCCCGGGGTCATTGCAGGAGGTAGCGGTAGACACTGTGGACAAAAAGCAGTGGGAAACGGGGTGCTCACTCTCAGGGGCTTTTCGGCAACAACACACTGCGTTCTGCACATGCTCTGGATCTCTCTCATTGTTTTGTTCTGAGGCTGGGATCCTGCCATTGGCAGCAGGTGGTGGGGGTGGAGCACTCATCAAGCCCCGGTGCACACGCACTTTTGAAAGCCCGCACCAGGACGCACATGCGATCGCACATTGTTGCTGCTTTCACAGACAGCATCTGTTTCCGCAGCTGCGGCAACCTGTGGGGATGGCAAGCGCGCCACAGAGATCGACCTGATGCATTTGTGCACACACTCACGCTGACTCAGAAACATAGAAAACAGAGTAAGTCAGAAGGGGTCTCCCAGGCCATCTAGTCTGACCTCCGGCACCAGCCGGCTCCGCTCACGACATGCCCACCATGTGGACCTGGACATCTGCTAATCTCACATGGCATCTTGTTACAATCCTCTGTCAGCCATATGTTTTGAGACAAACAGCCCTGCGAGCAGATTTCTCCTGGGCAAGGATGGAGTGGGTCCCTGAGCTTTCAGAGGGAGTGCCCAGCCTGACCGGTTTTTGCGGGGGGGGGGGCACTGGAGAACTCTGCTGCTGCCCTGAGGGAAAACCCACTCATGCTGTTTTCCAAGCCCAGAGCTTTAGGGATGTTTCACTCTGGAGAAAGGTGGAAGCAAGAAGGAGCAGAGCACTTTGAAATGAGCCGTCACCAACTCGCATAAACAGCGAGCCAAGCAGTGGTTCAACGAAAGGCCCAAAGAGCAACTGGAGCCATTTGTCAAGAGTTGGATGGATCAGGAGCTCCTATCGCACAGGTAGCAATTCTCTGGACAAAAGCGCCAGGCAGATTCTAAAAGATGTTCGTGCTTCACATGGGATGGGGCAGAAGCCCCACAAGCCTGGGCTGGGCCTGTTGCAGTCAGGATGCCCCTCCCCAGACAGTTCCCAGAATCGTCTTCTGTGAGCAGGATTCTTGATTTTGCCTTCTGTAACGCCTGTGCTGTGCCGACCTTTTCTGGGGGGACAGTGGGATTTCAGGAACTGTGACATACTTTCCACCCTAGGCCCCCTGCCCACCTGTGCCACACACACTCCCTTAGAGGCCTGCTAATTTTTCACAACTATTTGTAGCCATTTACCATAGTTTTCTGTCTATAAGACCCCCCATGTATAGGATGCCCCCCCACTTTTCCTATCCATCTCCAGCAAACAAACTGCTGCCATGCATGCGCC